TCTCCTCCATTCCTCAGGCGTCTTCTCACTCTCTAAAATCCTGTTGAACAAACTAGATAGCGAACTCCACTGCTGTCTCTCCTAGACACTTCCACACCTCTACAGGTATGTCATCTGGACCAACAGCCTTTCCACTCTTCATTCTCCTCAGAGCCTTCCTCACCTCATCCTTTCTAATCTTTGCTACTTCCTGCTCTACAATATTCACCTCTTCCCCCCTTCTTTTCCTCTCATTTTCCTCATTCATCAGTTCCTCAAAATAGTCCTTCCATCTTCTCTGCACACGCTCCTCACTTGTTAGCACCTTTCCATTTCTGTTTTTAATCGCCCTTATCTGTTGCACATCCTTCCCATTTCTATCTCTCTGTCTCGCTAATCTGTCCTTCTCACCTTCCCTCGTGTTTAACCTGGCATACAACTCATCATATGCTTTCTCTTTGGCCATTGCTGCCTCCCACTTCACTCTACACTGCAATTTCTTGTAATCCTGTCTACTGTCTTCAGTCCTTTCTATGTCCCACTTCTTTTTAGCTAGCCTCTTCCTCTGAATGCTGTCCTGTACTTCCTTGTTCCACCACCATGCTTCCTTATCTTCTTTCCTCCTTCCAGATGACACACCTAGCACCTTCCTACCTGTCTCCCTGATCACTTCTGCTGTAGTTTCCCAGTCATCTGGAAGTTCTTACTGACCACCCAAAGCCTGTCTCAACTTCGGGCTGAATTCCTCACGCCATTCACCTTTGTTCCCCTCACCAACATGCCCATTGAAGTCTGCCCCAATCACCACTCTCTCCCCTCTGGGAATACTCTCCATCACCTCATCTAACTCACTCCAGAATCTCTCCTTCTCTTCTAACTCACCCTACTTGTGGAGCATAACCACTGACTACATTCAACATTACCCCTTCAATTTCCAACCTCAGACTGATCACCCTGTCTGACACTCTTTTCACCTCTAAAACATTCCTCACCAGCTCCTCCTTCAGGATCACTCCTACCCCATTTCTCTTCCTGTCCACACCATAATAAAACAGTTTGTATCCCCCTCCAATGCTACACGCCTTGCTACTCTTCCACCTGGTCACCTGCACACACAGTATATCTACCTTCCTTCTCTCCATCATGTGCCAACGTTAAGAGTCCCTATTCTCAGACCTATACTCCTGCCTTTCCTCTTCTCTCTCTGTCTACAAATCCTTCTATCTCCTCTCCTTCTTCGACCAACAGTAGTCCAATTTCCTCCAGCACCCTGTAGGTCCACAGCACTGGTGTAGGTCGTTGTTAACCCGGGCCTCAACTGATCTGGTATGGAATTCACACTGATGATTTGCATGTTTAAATTTGGCATGTTTTTACGCCGGATGCCCTTCCTGACGCAACCCTCTCTATTTATCGGGGCTTGGGACCGGCACAGAAGTCATGGGCTTGCAACCTCTGTGGCTAGATTAGGAGGAGTTTCTGGGTCTGCTGGTGTTTAAAGTTTGGCCTGAGTTCTGACTCTCCAGCCTCCTACCTGTCGGGGAACTGCAGTGTGGCGTACAGAGACTCGGTCCAGGTGTGGTCCATCTGCAGCTGTGTGAAGCGACGTAGGATCTCAGAGGCCAGAGACGTTCCCTCTGCGGATCCTGGAGGATGGTTGGCTCTGCTGACACGACTGGGGAGGACAACCACAAAGAGAAAGGCTCCCTCTGACACCAGAGAAACCCACTGTTTTTGTCACAGTTAGCTCTGACCACTGTTTGACTCGCAGAGATATAACTATCACAGCAGTGGAGCTGATCTCAGTTTGCATGTAAACACTCTGAGGAAACCTCACGACAACAGTGCTTCACTGGACCATGTTTAAAAACAACAGAAAAAGTCTGATTTATGGTACAAATTCTGTTTTTGCATCAGTGATCCACAGAAACACTGTCAATCAGGTGTGATTGACACCATATTCTCTCTGACATGATCATATTATTGATCCTGAGTGATCAGAGCTGCAGCAGCATGATACTGTTGGAGCTGTTAGCTACACCATGTATAATTATCTAGTTTAATCCATGGCTTTCCAACCTAGGGGTCGGGCCCCTCCAGAGGGTCACCAGATAAATGTGACGGGTCATCACATAACTCATGGAGACGACAGAAGAAACACAGTTGTGATTCACTGATCTGTTTTCTGGTCTTTGGTTTCTGTGGAATATTGAATCCCGTGAATGTCTCGGGCCTCTATAAGAAGTTTCCTATTGCATTTTATAACCTTATGTGTTTAAGGTACCGTCTTAATTTGTAAAGTAATTGTGGCTGTTAGATAAATGTAGTGTAGTATAAAGTACTAGATTTCCCTCTGAGATGTAGTAGAGTAAAACTTTAAAGTAACTCAGCATGGAAATACTCAAGTACCCATGTACTGTGGAGTGGTACTTGGTGTCGATTGATCCATACACACTAATCAGGATAAGTCCGGTGTTGTCACCATGTCCAGTGCCCCAGGTGTCCTGGCCTCCTACCTGACCATGTTGTGGATATCTTCATCCTGCAACAGCATCCTCATCATCACCCTGAGCTCTCCCAGGTAAAGCCCCGCCCCTCCCTCTGCAGGTGGTTTAGCTACACCCCCTGGCTGCTCGTCCTCCTCCCCCTGGCCCCCCACCTGGGAACAGTGCCCGCTGAACACTGCATAGGCCAGTAGAAATGCTGAGAGAGACCATGCCCACTTTAATCACATGATCAGACTAACCAGTAAAAACTGTGTGTATGTGTGTGTGTGTGTATACCTGTGGTGAAAATGACAACTCCACATACACACAGCAACATGCCAGCTCTCCAGTTACCATGGCGATACCTCAGTAACAACGCTGTGATGTCATTGCTAGGCCCCGCCTCCTCCTCCACATCTGACATCACAAATGTCACCTCCATCCTCTGTGCCCCGCCCACTTCTTCATCATCAGACACAGAGCGGTGGAGTGACACTGATGAAGACTGGGGAGAGAGAGAGGGAGTGTAACCATCGTGAGAGTTCAGAGGGGGGGGCGCTTGTTTCTCTGTCTCACCTGTCTCAGACCTGATGTCCTTATGGCGTCCATGTTGATCTACAGAGGGAGGAGACACAGTGCTGTCAGTCTAGCATCAGGCATCACCTGAACTTGCACAGAAATGACTTGAACCTACAGGGAATGAATCTGGTACTTGAATGAGGAATGAACGATAAAGCTCATTACCAAAGTAATCAATGAAATCAGCATAATGTAAACAACTATTATACGGGGTGGGCCACGGAAAAGTAGCCCGCATACTGGTGTTAGGAGCCAGGTATTAGGGCTCCAGGCTACTGACTGTACTACACACCCTGTACTTTCTAATGGGAGGAGGTTCCAGTCAGGCCAAATACAGAGCTGGAAAATCTCTGCAGTGAGTTTTAGTTTCACTGAAAAGAATCAAATTCTCACAGATGTTGAAGCAGTTGCTGTGACTTTGCTGAAGACAGATCATATGTTTCATCTGCATTTAACAGGTGAGTAGTGGGAGTTTGTCCAACATGACACGAGTCCTGACTTGGCCTGATCAGAGGCTTCTCCATAAATGTCCACCACATGTGAAACATCCTGGTCTCTCCACTGACCCCGTCGCTGTCGTCGCTCTCCTCCATGTTTATTGTTACCGGTCTGTGAGGGGCCGACGCTGAATGAGGACGACAGGCCGTATGTGCAAAGGAGGAGACGTTAAAACGACCACATGGATTCTGATCTGACCATTCTGACAGTGCTCACATTCAGAGGTCGGAGAGGAATCAGGTCTAGGAGCACATACACAGGTGGCCCAGTTCTGGTCTGAGGACATCTGGTCCGGTCTGCTTACACTGCTGGGGACACACCAGGTCTGAAGCACTGGGAGGGAAACTTCAGCTGGGATGTGGATGCAGTCTACTGATGTCAGTAAGTCACTTCTCTTGGCAGCAGAATGAGTCTGTCCCATTGAAGCCCTCAGTCTGCTGTGATTGGCTCCTCAGGGAGGTCAGAGGTCAGTGGGGAAGTTAACTTCCAGGTTTCAGGTTAACTTTATTAACAGCTAAGTATGTTTGATCAGGTTAACTTTATTAACAGCTAAGTAAACACACAGACACTGACGCTGCTGCTGAAGAATCAAAGCCTTTAACTTGCATGAAATTCATGCTCTTAATTTGAACAAACCAGCTGAATCTGGTCCTCAAACTGGTCTTCCATTAACATTTTCTTTGATTTAAGGTGCAGTGGAACAGTGACTGACTACGTTGCTTTAAACTGTAATGATTTTGACGGATGTTGTTACAGAGCGTCTCCTACATGTGAATGTTACAGAAAGTGAGAGCTTCACATCAGTGACCTCTGAAGGATCAGAAGCAGTTTGAACTCACGAAGAAGCAGAAAAATCAGAAACTGGACTGGGTCGTGTCTGAAGGACAAACAGCAGGTCACTGATAATCCTGCTGTTATGTCTGTAGAGAATAAATGTTAAGTCAGTGTAACATCACAGTGTGTGTCAGTGATCTACTCACCTCTTATTCCTCCTCTGTCTCGTCTCTCTCTCTGCCCATTCCTCTGCTGTTTGTGGATCAGTAAAAGTGTGTTGTGTGTGTTTTGTGTCAACTTCAGAAAGTCCTGTGTTCACCTAGTGACCTGCTGTCACAGACTCCACCTCCTTCATCCTCCAGTCAAACGACAGAAATCATGACGGAGACAACAGAGACTTCTCAGTGTTTCCTCTATAGCAACATCACTCACTGGTCAAATCCCAACTCCCCTATTTGGTCGTTCCTCACTCGACACAGAAGTTGTTCCAGTTGACTGAGGACGTTCCAAGTTTTTTTTTTATATTTGCTCTGAGGACCGAGGAGTGAGAAGGCTGCTGGAGGAGCCATGACTGAGGATACACAAGGCCAACCTTTATGGAAATCCTTTATGGACCTGCCCTTTTATCAGAAATCAGCTGGTGATTGGAGGCTTCACATGAAGGATCAGAGGAAACGACATCGCAAATTAACTCAGTGAGTTTCAGTGGTTTCTTAATTTTTACTTGAGTACTGTTTGAAACACTTGGACTGTGCCCGAGCAGACCAGACCCATATGCAGCATGTAGACACACTAGTCAGTAGGTGGAGCCCACCCCTTGTATTCCGTTATGGGACCTAGGCAGGAGAGGAGGATTTTGTTTGTTCACTCTCCCACCTGTTCTTTTCTCTTTGTGTAGAATATTTTGACCTTGCTGCCTCTGCACTGTTATAGTGGTATGGGTTCCTATGTTCTCCCTCACGTCTCTAGGCCTAGACTGAGTCTCTGTAAGAGTGTTAGCTTCTTTCAGAAACAAAAGACTTACTGAAATATGTTTTGCAGAAATGTGCTTTTTGAATGTCCTAAATAAATATAGAAAGCATTTTAATTAAATTAAAAAGCTAACTGTCGAGGTCACCAGTTGAGGTTGGCTGTTCTCCATCTTGTATCTGGGTCCAGGTACTGCTGGAGAGTGGGGTCCATGGAGGACTGAGGCTCAGTCCAGTAAAGAACTATAAAATGTATAGAAACTATAAAATAAATGAGGTGTTTTTTGTAGTGTTCTGACAATTGAAGGTTTGTGTGTGTCAAAGGGCACGCAGTGGATATTGTAATTTAAAACAATCTAAAATAACTGGGTCACTTCCTGTTTCCTGTGCTGCAGGTGAGCGGGACAGATGAGGCTCCAACAAACCCGAACTTGTAAAACGACTAACACGTATCTTTTGGGTGCTATTAGCTTCTCAGACATGACAGAATTGGTCTCTACAGGTAGTGATGGCCGATGAGGCTTTGTTGAAGCTTCTACACAGTGTTCACAAAAATGGTTCATTACTCGGCCTCAATGACACAGTGCTCCAGTAGGACATCTAGTGGTCAAGAAATTGAAGTGCAGTCAAGACGTGTCGCTTATTGGTTCATGGATTGTTTGGGATTTGATTCGCTATGCACATTCCTGTTCGACTACACTACATGGCTGTATGGTTTCAAGCTGACACAGTAAAATATAAAATAAACATGGACACATGTTGAAGACCATGTTTCTTATTTGGCACCTCTGACTGTAGCCCTATATGCTCCTCACTTATATTTTGTGTTATGAAAACATTTAAATGGTGGTGCTACATTCATGAGATGTGGTCTACAGATTCAGACAGATGTCATTTTCACATGGGACTGGTGCAAATACAGATTATAGTATGAACTTTTGGCAAAGTTTGTTTTGGGGTTCATTGGTAAAGAGGTTCATGGGTATGTGGGTAAAGAGGGTGTGTTTGTGTAACTGTTTATGAGTTTTTATTGAGAAATAACAGTAAATCCACAGTTTTCAGACACAAGTGGTTTCTCCTTTTACAGACTATTTCCCCAGTCTTGGAAAAAACCCGTTCACATGGCACAGATGAGGCTGGGGTACACAGGAAATGCTTGGATAATTCATAGAGGTTTGGGTAACTATACAGTATATGCAATATATCTATATATGTAATATATATCTTATCCATATCTAATGTTATTTAGGACTATCTATGTAACTACCAACCTGCTCTGCAAAGACAGATTCAAATGAACACCACTAAATAGGGATATCCTGTCTCTGAACACACTCGATCCAAAGTGATTCACATGACAAACAGAACCAATCAGCTGATTCACCTGACGTCCGACGAACCCAACTGCTTTGGACGTCACTCAAGTGATTCAAACGTCACTAGTCACGTGACCGAAACACGCCTCGGCACAGTGGTTCGAAACAATTGCTTTATGAGCTACCGCGCATGTGTCGGAGCCTCTGGTGTTATAGGGCCATCACTATCTATGGGTATTCACTTTAGACTCGGCTCCTCCGCATCCACCGGTGAGTTGTTTCTGTAACTTTATATGTGGAAAAAGCTAAGAAGTTATGTGATAACCTTGTTGGATATGCACGTAAAATAACCGCAAGTATTGCTGCCGCTAACTTTACTGTTTTCGCTAACTTAGCTGTGCTATCACTTTAGCTAGCTAGTTACTCGGCTAGTCGTTAGCCGCTAATGCTCCCAAAACCTTCAGTGGGAAAACGGTCATTTAAAGGCAGTTGTCTGTGTTTTTGAATGAATATAAATATTACATGATGTTTGTTATGTGCTCAACTTGAAGGGTTTTGAGTTTCAGCTCTGTTTTAATGAAATGTTTTGAGTGTTTTATTTGAAATGTCTTGTTTGTCGTCTTATGTGAGTGAAATTAAACTGTGATGTGAAAAAAGGATTCTGAATGAAATGTTGAATAACACAAGGAGTTCAGAACTTATGCAATCAAACTAAACATTATTCTTTCTACAGTTTGGTTTGTCCCTGTCTGAAGTTGGACGCAACTTTCTCCAGACACTGAGTTTCCTGTGGACCTCTACAGGGGACTGGACTTTGCCTCAGCTCAGCTGTTGTCTGGTAGGACGAGCTGATCTTTTATTTTCAGCCTTAATGCAGCTCAAACTAGTACACACTGGAGGACAAATCTGAAAGGTCTTTGTGTTTATGTAATTGAGTTTGTCCTCATTGCTTTGCCGTATGATTTACAGCCTTGGTCACTGCTGTTCGTAAACACTGTGCTTCCAAACAGAACACCAGCTGGTCCTCACAGCTGATAATTAAACTCATGTTTCACTACATGCCTGTGCAGTGACACGGTGGTCACACTGATACAGATGTACACACCTGCCTCCACCTGCCTCCACCTGCAGGTCCAGACAAACAACAGAACACTTATGCTGCATTTCCACTATGGGAACCTAATGAGCAGTACACCCTGTACTTCCCTTAACCACCGCCGAGTGTAGCCTCCAGGGTTGACACCAACTGTCCTGCTTTGTTTTTCCACTGTATTTTCTCTGTCAGTCTCTGTTTAGAGGAGGGAGGGGCTGCTCCCCTCTCACGTGCCGCCAGCTGTGTGTTGACATGCGGCGCTTGAGGTGTGAAGATACAGACCTTTAACCATTCACCGGCGACCGCTGTGTGTGCTCACACCCTTTCCTCTCACATTCCAGGTACTTGATTTTTGTACTACCTCCTGAGGGGTGCTGACATCTATCTCCCAGAACACACCACCAAAGTGGGCGCACCATAGTGGAAACAAGTGCAGAACCTGTGACAAGTATTACTCACCGCGACACATTTGGGTGGGTTCCTATAAGGGAAATCCCCCTAAGTGACCCAAACTGGCCCAGTCTGTTTCCTGCTGTGGTGGAAAAAAACACAAGAGGGTGAAGTTTAATATGTCCTGATAACTCATTAGTTAGTAACTGTAACAGAACCATGAAACTCTAAAATGAATGTTTGTTGTAGACACTTAACTCCAGCCTGTGGAAAGTAAACTTCAGAAACAACAAACCTTTTCACAAATATAAAAAATAAATCTAGATGGAAGAAGTTACAGAGGCAGGACAGTGGTGTGTGTATGTCTGTAAGATTTGACCTATGATAGTAACCAGTGAATCCATTTCCTTCAGACTGCAGTGAAGAGCTGACATCTGTTCAAGAGAAACTAAATTTAACATCATTACTACTTTTTAAGCATCTAGCATATCTATACATGAGTATTTCTATGTCCTGCTACTTCATACTGTGACTTCAGAGACCAGCCTTGTACTTTTTACTGCATTACATGTATTTGATAACTTTCCAGAATCAGATGAATCATCATATATTCATCCTGGTGGGAAATTCACCAGCTACCCAGCAGGATGTGAAGTACTTCACAGTATAAGTATTGGATTCAAAACAACATGTATTGTAGTTACCAGTAGCTGTACAAGCTGCAACTTTAAAGTGATGTGATACATCATTTTATCCATGCATGAGGACGTTTACTTTTTGTTCTTCAAGTATATTTTGATGTGAAAACTTTGATACTTTTACTGAAGTAACATTGAATACAGGACTGTCACTTGCGCAGTGTTTTTATACTGTGGTATTACTACTTGTGTACTTCTACCTCCAAAGTCATCCAGATGTCCTTTATAGTAAGATTCAGAGTTGCTGTGAGCAGGTAGTATTTCACCACTGAGCTGTAGACACTGAGGCTTCCACGTATCTCGGTGACAGAGTACCTTGCATGTTACTCAGGAAGCAGCTGCAGATACTAGGAGGTTGAGCTGGCTGTGTAAGAAGAGAGAGCCTAACAGAGGAGACGTGCTGTGGACACACTGCAGTAGTCAGACTCTGTATCAGGCTTTAAAGTCACAGTCTGTGTTTTATCCCTGGTTTTAGTGACGGAGGTAGTTTATTGTCCAACGTCTCTGTGCAGATCGTTGCTCTGTGGGACGACCAGTCCGATACCAGACCGGCTGTGGCTGGAGTGAGCTTTAGTCTGTCGATTAAAACTGGACTCCAAAATGGTGCCCAGTCAACTTATTAAACTGCCCACTGAGTAAATAAAAACATTTCTACTTTCTGGGTTGTCCCAGTCCGTCCTTCCTGTCTCCCTGTGTTCACTCTGTCCTCTCTCTCTCTCTCTCTCGGCGTGGCTGTTTCCTTCCCCTCAGTGTATGAGTGTTGTGTTTGGGTTCTGCCTCCCATGTTGTTGTGAGGTCTGTTGTCGTACCAGGTCTTAGTCAGGAGGGGAGGTCATGTGCTCAGGTCTGTGGGAGGCTCCTGGAAGCTGCTTGTCCTCCACGGCCATGCTCATACACGTTACAATATACAGTGTTTGTGATTCTGACTGTGAATGTATTGATTTATTCTGTACACACAACATCTGCTTCCTGTCTGTCCTGGAGAGAGGTCCCTCCTCTGTCAGTTGCTTGTCCTCAGGTTTTTTCTTGTTAAAGGGTTTTGGGGGTTAGGTGTTAGGGTTACTGACACTGATGTCAGCAGGAGTTAAAATTTTAACCAATCAACTCTGACATGCAAAATATCAGATCAACACTGTCACCGGGGTATTTTCTCCTCCCTGACATTGAGCTGGTTCTTGACTAAACTCAGGCTGGACCCGCAGAGAGTCGCAGTTCAGTCTGTCTCTGTGTGAATCAGTAACATGACTGCTTTATTCTAGAACATCAGAGCAAAAAAATTAAAAACAAAACGGTAACAAATGGTGAGACATGTTAGTGTGTCTGTTTGGTTTGGTGATCCAGACTGTGTACGGGTGCCTGTCAGGGTTACAGTCTGTGGTGGGTTCACACTGGGAAAGTGTTCTAAGTTTCCTCAGACCTGGAGTTTGATTCGGATGTTTCTGCAGGTTTACTCGCTTAAACTCAAGTCTTTTTTTACTGGAGTTAAAACCTGTCTCTCAGTCAAACTGTCCACACTGTGAAAGACATCAGGACCAGCAGCCACAATGAGGCCCACGTTATTTAGCAGGAAGCTGAGTTGATGTAGCATGTTTTCAGCTCTGAACACGAGCTGGACTCGGGTCCACAGTAGCAGCGTCAGACCGAGTCATTAAGGTTGTCAGACTGACACCTGGCCAGATGTTTGGAACAGCAGCACTGGGGCTTCCCACCTGACTGTGTTGGTATTAAACTGTTAGTGTAACTGTCTGCAGCACAGTGGATCAACCGCTTCAGGCGTCTATAGCGGAAGAAGAAACCAGACTCACAGGCAGGACACCTGCCAACACAAATACAGTAAATACATGTTGAACAGGTTTTACTGCCTGTTTGTCAGATGTACTTTTGCAGTTTTATTTTGTAATATTACCTGTTTCTACCACACTGAAAATGATTTGTGTACTTCCTGTTAAAGCCAGTGGTGGGAAGTAATGAAGTACATTTACTCAAGTAAATGCCCTCTATGTCGGAATCTCTGTCTCTTCTGCGGAAGCTTCAACTGGTTCAAAATGCTGCGGCTTGACTGTTGTCAAACACTCCTAAGTCTGCCCACATCACCCCTGTGCTTCGCTCACTCCATTGGCTGCCAATACAGTATAGAATTAACTTCAAAGTACTACCATTTGTTTTTAAGGCCATGAATGGCCTTGCTCTGCCATACATATCGGATCTTCTCTCCGTCTTTGTGTCACGTAGAACCCTGCGCTCCTCAGAACATCTGTCCCAGGTTGTCCCTCAGGCTAGGTACAAAAAAAGGGGAGATCGCTCTTTTGCCGTGTATGGCCCCAGGCTTTGGAAGCTTCGGGCCGAAACTGAGCTGGCGGCTTTTAAGTTGACTCTGAAAACCCATCTTTTTAGAGAGGCTTTTGGTATTTAGCTCATTCTAATCTTAGCTCGTTTTTTCCTGTTGTTTTATGCTGTTTCTTATTCTGATATGGATGTCTTTTATTTTTGGGTTTTTAATAATTTGTAGTTTACTCTGTTTAGGTTTTTGTTTTAGTATCTTGTATTAGTGTCCTGAACAAGACCCCAAGATACTTGAACTCCTCCACTTGAGGCAGGAACTCTCCACCAACCTGAAGGGAACAAGCCACCCTTTTCCGGCTGAGAACCATGGCCTCGGATTTGGAGGTGCTGATTCTCATCCCAGCCGCTTCACACTCGGCTGCAAACCGCCCCAGTGCATGCTGGAGGTCCTGGTTTGATGGGGCCAACAGGACAACGTCATCTGCAAAAAGCAGAGACGAAATCCTGTGGTCCCCAAACCGGACTCCCTCCGGCCCCTGGCTGCGCCTAGAAATTCTGTCCATAAAAAGAATGAACAGAACCGGTGACAAAGGGCAGCCCTGCCGGAGTCCAACACGCACTGGAAACAAGTCTGACTTACTACCGGC